AATAAAAGGAAACAAACAAAAGCTGCAAAAAAAAAAGTTTTGGTTTATTTTTTGGGGGGAGGGTTGCAGGGATAAGCAGCTCTGGTTTGGGGCTGGGGAGGGGGGGCGCACGGCTTTTCGGAGTGTGTTTTTTGGTTTGGTTTTCGTTTTGGTTGTTTCGAGCCCCTTGTGTCGGTCGGTGCGTTGTGGCGGGTCGGGGCTGCAGCCCCGCGTTCCTGCTTCCCCCGCCTGGGCTGGCGCTTCCCGGCAGCTTTGCCCCGCAGCGGGGACAGGGACAGTGTACGTGTGACTTTTGATGCCGTAACCCCTTCAACTGTAAGGCAACCCCCCTCCTTTCTTCCCGCCCACCCCAATAAAATCTAAACTAATAAATGTAGTGGTGTCGTGTCCTCCTTCCTCCCTCCTGCCTCGTCTTCCTCACAAAACTCCCCTGGGAGGAGTGAGGAGCCGAGAAATATTTCCTGGGGATCCCAGCAGGTGAGGATGTGTGTGATGAGTTTGCGAGAGCTCTGGAGGGGGGATCACCGCCGCTTCTGCAGCTGCGGGCTGGGGACCCGCTCCTGCGTTAATTGGCGCTTAATTGGTTACGGATTTATTGGTGCCCCGTGGTGCCGATGGGACTCGCGGCACGGGCCAGCGCTGCCCGAAGCTGCGATTTCCCCCCAGGATCGGGGGCGCAGCCGCCAAACTCGGGACCCACGGGCGGGCCTGGGTGCCGGTGGCGGAGTGCGACGGCCACTCGGACCGCTGTCCCTCAGTCCCTCTGTCCCTCAGTGCGGGTTCAGCACTTGCGCTTCCAGCCCCGACTCCCGGCCGTGCCATCCTCAGCCGCTGCCGGCCGCGATCCAGCCAAAGAAGACAGGCAGATTAATTTTTTTCTCGTGACAATCTCCCCCTCTTTTTTTCCCCCCCAGACCTTCACTTCAGTTGTTGGAAGCTGCCTGACGGTGCTGGGGCTTCTCCTACTTGCACAGGACAGGGAACGCGCGGACCCGCGAGGCCACTGCTCCCCTGCTTGGGGCATGGATGCGCTGCTCGGGAAGCAGCCCCAAATTCCACCCTCCCCCACGGTCCTGCAGTCGTGCCCACCGCACCTGGAAGCTCCGGGGCTGTGCCGTGTGTTCCCACCCCTGGTGTCCCCAGGCAGCCTCGGGCAGTGGGACCGCGGTGGGGTGAGAGGTGCCAATGCTCCCCGCGGCTGCTTTGGGGAGGGTTTCACATCCCCCTCCCGCACCACCTGCCCCCGCCTTCCCGCTCCAGCATCCTGGTGGAGAGCGAGCGGGGCTGGCCCTGCGGTGCTGCGGCTGCGGCAGGAAAACAGTGGGATCGGCCCCAGGAGCCACCCCCAGCCCCCGTGCCACCTTCCAGGGTCGCGGCCACGGCGGAGCCCCGAGGCCGGGGTGGCCTCCCGCACCCATCGGTGCAACAGGGGGCTCTGGGAGGGGACGAGGGACTGAGTCAATGTTAGGGGATTTTTCTTTAAGTGGTTCTGTTCCTTGTTGTCTCCTTTTGTGCATGTATATAGATAAAAGATATGTAAGTATTTTTTAAAAAAATATATCTATACTTCTACTATAAAATAATTGTTCTCTTCTGCAATCACCAAAGTGTGGCTGTACAGGCAGTTTGAGTGAGGGCCATGTGTGCTGGTGCATCAGTCCATGCATCCCCAAGCCCTTCCTTTTAAAGGGGAAAAAGTCATCACAGCCCTCCTGGGGCTGGAGGGGGGAACAAAAAATCTATGCTGGGCACAAAATGAACCAGGGTTGCCCTCCCAGATTTGTGAGCACTTGAGAGATAAGGTCCAGCAGGTGTACAACGCACAATCCCCCAGACACACACCTTGTGTCTTTAAACAAAAATGATGCACACTTCATCATTCTTGTAAACTGTGTTCCACTATAACTCAGTAAGTGATGCTGAGAGACACAGCCAAGAGAGGAGCCTGAGTTTTGGTTTTGGTGACGTGGTCCTAAACCTCTTCATCCAGTGCCCCACAGTGGGGCTGGACCAGGGCTCTGCTCTGGGGTGTTGGACTCCAAGGGATGCTCATGCGCCCCCACCTTCCCCCCTGATTTAGGCACCAGGAATACCAAGTGCAACTGATCAGTGATTTATCCAGCAACTCCCACACTGCGGTTTGGGCTTTTTCCTGTCCCACTCACACAGACCTGGAGCATGGTTGAAGCTGGCTGCCGAGCACAAGTGGTTTTGGAGGCACAAGAAGAGACCTGGACAGATCACACCAAATCATGGCTGTGCCCTCAATGCTCAGCTCCATTTGTTTCAATTCTTTTTCCAGTCAGTGCCAGCAGGGTGGGCAAGACTTCCCAGGTGGGTGTTGGTGGGTGAGCACGGGCTGGAAAGGTCATGCCTGGGTTTGGGGGGGTCCTAGCACCCTCCCTATGTGGCAAACTTCTCCCACTGTGGGCTACCTCAAGGCTGGCACAGGCACGGCAGCCGAGCATGAGTCACGGCAGGTAAGGTGGCACGGCGCCTGGTGCCCGGCTCCAGGGGCAGGCACCAGCAGGAGTGCCAAGCTTTTTAGGGCAACCCGGTTCTGAGAGAGCTGCCTACTTGGCAGTGCCTCACCTCTCCAGCAAGAAGGCTGCTGGGTGCGTGGCTACCATTAGTATTTAATTTTTTTAAAATAAAAAATCGCAGTGCTGCAGCGCCGAGGGCTGGGGCAGCCCCGCGCAGCTCCTGCCCCTTGCCCGAGGGCCGGCAGCTGCCTCTGCACGGACTGCCCGCTCCAAAGGCACCTGGAGCTTTCCTGCCAGGAACTGAAGGGCCAGGATGCGGGGTGAGCAGGAGGAGGGACAGAGGGGAGAACATTCCCCGGCTTGGGCTGCCCTTAGCTGCTACACTGGTGCTTCATGGACCTGGAATAATCCATGACCTATTTGCTGTTACCAGAGCATTTGCTCTGGGTTGTGTCCCTGCTTCGCTGTTGATTCCCTGCGTGTGGCAGGCAGCTGGGACAGGTGGTGATGGGAACACCCTTGGTGAGGTGGGCAGAGGCTGGACAGGGTTGCTGCTGGCTGGGGTGAGCAACTCCTCTTTTGGGTGCTGGACCTGCTTTGGGAACTCAAGCCATTATGGCTGAGCATGACTTAAATTATTAAAGATTTGTAACTAAAAATTCTGTTACAAGTTTCAGAAGTTGTGTCCACCAACACTACTACTTATTACAGTTATTTTGTAGGCAGCCTTCCTGGCAGGGAGCAGAGAAAACAGGTGATTATAGCTGAATAAGGAACCACTGGTTTGTGGTTTTCCCTGCACTGACCTCTGTGTTAGCCAGTCACTGCTAATTCATACACTTTGAGCAGCAATTAATGCAATAAAATCCCATGTTGGTTCCAAACCTGTTTTGATTTTGTCAGTGAAAAGTCTGCAGGTGAACCTCCCAGCTGAGGAAGCTGCTGTACTGGTGAGCTCTCCTTTCATGTCACACTGCCAAGCACAAAATGCTGTGGGGAAGGAGGAGGGTGAAAATGGTCACAGGGCTGAAGCCTAAAGGGAAACATCTGCCTATTTCCAGTTAAACCCCTATTCAACACTTTTTTTTTTTTTTCCTGGACAGACAGGACTTTACCAAGAAAACCATGTGAGGATATTTTTTTATGAAAAGCTGCAATTTTAGGAAACAGCATTCTGGACCTTATGTACATTTCTAGTATCACTTCCTGTATATTTTTAAGCTGAAATCCTCTTAGCATGCAAAGTAAATAGATTATGATATACTGAAGGATTAAGAATCACTGTCTGGTGTCAGATTAATCCCTCATATAGACCATCACTTGTACTGACAGAAATATGGCTGCAATTCAGCAAAATAGCTGTATGGCAGGGCCATGTGCCACAGCCTCTTGGGCAGAACAAGCCCCCTGTCACCGTGGTCCAGCACCGTGCGTTTCCCAGAAATTCCATTTCAGTTGTGGCACATTTAAGGCACGCTCCTCTACAAGGTCGGCCGTCACCACCTCGGCTCTCTGTGGGGAAACGAGGCAGCAGCTGCTCTGTTTCAAAGCTCTCTGTATTTGTTTTTCCCTGTTGAGTGTACAAAACCCTGCAGGCTGCAAGCCCTTGGCTCCCTTCAAACCTCAAACCAAAGTGTCTCTTTCGAATACACGCGTGCAAAGGTGTAGATTGGGATGAAGCGCCAAAAGGGTGCAACTAAAATCACCCATCAGGCAGCAGAACTTTGACTCATAGGGGAGAATGAACTGTAAATATTTTATTTGGGTAAAAGCAGAATTTTGGTTAACGAAATACTTCTAATGGCTCGTGGGTTTTGGTTTTTTATTTTTTTACATTGTGCCTTCATTTTCAGTCCATTGTACAGATTTGTTCACCACATAAAGCCAACTTCAAGAAGCTCGCTGGCTTTGGGTTTCAACCATCCAGTGCTCCCCAAAAAACTCAAGATTAACCCCCACACGTGCCTATGACAGAGCACAAAATATCTGTGTCCGTACTCTGTGCTCCATCAGGTGGCAGGAGGAAGGACCCACGATGATGCTCGCCCCTCTCCGCTACCAGAAAAAACCAGAGAGGGCTGGCACAGGTCCCCTTCTCAGAGCATTTTCTCTTTGTGGTTAGAGGAGGCAGATTAAAATCTGGACTCCAATGGAATGATGCTTAAGAGGCTCCGCATCTTTTTTCAAGGCAAAATAATGGTTATTCAACTAAGATGATATATCTAGATATGAAAATTGAGAGCATTCTTTGAAAAATGCTGCTGACTGTGAAAGGCTGCTCTTTCACAGAGGTATCCTGAGTGAAGATCTTATCTGCTGGTATCTCAATAGGACGGTTTTCAGAGCCTTAAGTGGAAATTCAAATCTGCTTCCATGTGAAGATTGTAAAAACATATAATGCATAGAGAATTACAGAATTTCTCCTGAAAAGCTTATGGATTCGTCCAAGAAACCCCACCAAATTTTTCAGCATTGAGATTGTAAATGGGGATCAGCAATTACTCGCTTTTTTGACGCCTTTGATGAAAATGTCACCAAGTTGCCCTCCACAAGCAAACACAGGGCACTTTGTGCATGGACATATCAATATGAACCCAGAAATAATTTGGAGGTCTAAGAACAGGATATTTTCTAAGCCTGGTGTTTTGTCATCTGCCAGTGGCCAGACCTAGGGCTGGCTGGAAGTTCGCCGAAGGTCTTCCCGTGAGCTTCACCACCTTGGTGAGGTTTCCTCTTCTCTGCTTTGGCAGCTCAGTCACACCAGCCCAAAGTGCACAATTTGGAGGGACCCGCTGTCTCCAGTCTCCTGTGGGGGAAAGACAGGCAGGATCAAGCAGGCTGCAGGGAGAGGCACAGGGGAATGGAAACACAGGTATCAAAACACCACCCCAACCCAGGGAGAAGAGACTATTGCAGACACTGTCCACTTTGGCCTGGGGATGAAGGATGTAGCCCCAAAATGGTGAACACTGGCTTATCATTCAAGGTAAGGCATTCCTCATCTGTTTTTAAGCCCCTTCGCACTCCTCTGACCCTGCTGTTCCTGGGAAAACCAGGGCTGCAGCTCCAGGGAGCATGCATGGTGTACCCTGGGATGTGAGGGACTGGCAGCTGAGGCTCCACCTGCCTCTGAGACCGCTCACCTGGTGCTTGGAAACCTATTGGCAAAAGTGAAACTTTAGGTTTTTGTTACCTTTTAATTAAGCTGGGTTAATGCCCACGTGTGGCCAGCCAGGTTTTAAAGTGGGGATGGCATTTGCATCCCTCACACAATGCAAATGTGTGTTTTAAATCCCATCCTGCACTCTGAGCCAGTGCAGGGTGGAAGCCTGAGCCCTCTGGTCTTTCAAAGGACATGGAGATGGGGAGAATGTGTGCCACCAGCAGAGGTTATTTCATAACCAGGCTAGGGCTAGCGTGCCTGCGAAATGCATGAAATGCTTTGCCTTGGAAAGCGATGTAGCCTAGTGAGTCATTGCTTTCTTTTGAATTACAGATGAGTAGCCAGCCCTTCATGATGCAAAGAAAAAAACTAGGTGTGGAGCTGGAAACAAAGGGAAATGTGTGTTTGGCCTGTCTCAGAGGGCAAAACACATTGGCTGGCGTGGGAAGAGGGGGTGGGCTTGGCCCCAGGAGGTGGCTGTCAGGGCTGTGGGAGTACTGGTGAAGGTGCACAGGACTCATGTGAGTGACTCCCTGGCTCCCTGACTTCAGGAAAGATTAAAAAAAAAAATATCTCCTAACTCTTGAAGCTTCACAAAGAACCTTTGCCAGAGCAGCAGCTCCATCTCATGGCATGTGCACTTCACCACAGAGATAGAGATCTCCCTCCAAAACAGCATTCCCTCCATGACTTCCCTATCTCAGTATGGAGGGAGCAGTAAAAGTGCAATGGCTCCAAACAAGCTCTGTATGGACATTGAGCTTCCAGCCCGTGGTTTGGCTCTTCCCTTCAGGGAGATGGTGAGAGGTGGCCCTGACAAAATACAACCCCTTGAAAACGCTGAGAGGTGTTTTGAAGATGATTTGAAGTGTCCCTGATGTCCCAGCTGAACCAGTGCTTGCATCCCAGACCCCACCAGGTTATTCCAGTGTGGAAATGTGAAGCACAGCTTCACCACTGAGACTTCTGCTCAGTAAGGCGCCTCTCACTTCAGGAGGTTATGAGGTGCCTTCCTTGGTAGCAGGCCTCATGGTGGGGCTGTGTGTATGTGCCTTGGGTTTTGGGTGGCTTCAAGCTTTCTTTGGGCTCTCCTTGCTCTCTGAATGACACCTGCTGTAGGCTTCAAAAATATGACTTCTTTTTTTTTTTTTTTTTTTTTTTTTTTTTGTAAAGCCCTGAAGAACATCAGTGGCTGAAGGTAAGGAAGGGGTGGCTCTTTTGTCCCAAGAACTGTGTCAGGGCCTTATGCAGAGGTGTTTCTGTGGGTGGTTGCTCTGGGGATGAAGAGAGTAGGTAGACAGGTGAATGCAGGCTGGAAAAAGACCCCACAGCATGTTTGCCCATGCAAGAGTTCAAGGCTGTTTTGGGAGGTCCCTGTTGCTCAAGGTGTAAGGTCCAGAGTGCATCAGGTGGGTATCTGACCTGGGTTTGTCATTTGTGATTTGTGCCCCTGTCTGGGGAGATGTGAACAAGAACCCAGCCCTGCAGACCTACCTACTTGCTTTTTAAAAAAATATTTTTGAAAAAATCCTATTTGCAAACCTCTCTGGTGGCACTAAAGCAGACCTGGCGGTGTCGCGTGGGAAGCCTGTGATGTGGCATGAAGTTTGCAGAGGTATTTAATGTTAATCAAAGGCTGAAGAGTGGTGATGACTGGAATCCTCCTCTGATATCTCTGCATCTTTTCTGCTGTAGCACCCTGGCAATAAAAGGTGCTGTAATAATTTGATGAGAGTTGATTTTCATTGTGCAGGAAGAGGGCTGTCCAGGAACAGGGGCAGCCAGGACTGCAGTGCTGCTCCCTATGGTAATGAGCTGCTGGTCCTCCAGAGAAGGAAAACATGAATATCCTGACAGGAGAGCATCTACTTGTGCCCTGGAGAGTTCAGATCGTGGGGCTTTTCATGGTAATGATGTGGTCCCGCTCCGGCAGCCGAAGGGAGGAGCGGTATGGGAAGGCACACCCTGTAATTGAAAAGTCACTCAGTCAACTCGGACCTGCAGGGATGGCAGGATGAAGGCAGTGGTTTGCTCTGTCTCCACAGGTCTGAGGCAGAACAGAGGATCCTTCTACTCTCCTGGAGTGGGAAATACAGAGAAACCTCTTCCCCGTGCTGCTGTATGGCTCCCAGGAGGCTACGCTTTTTCTCCTGGGATTATTCTCAAGGGCATGATGAAGGTGGGAAAGGACAAGAGTGGAAGAGAGTAGAATAAATGAAGGAGCCCTGGGGAAATTATTTTAAGCACCTGTTTTATTCAGATGAAGACTGCCTGGTACCAGGCTGCAGGAAGGACTAGGTGGAAGGACATGCCTGTTGCTAGGTTCCATAGATTCCTTTGCACTGGGAATGCCTTGTTTCCCTTGAATAGCACAATACAAAACAATTCTGGCTGAGAGATAATCCACTGAGTGATAATATATTAAAATTATCACCTGGTAGCCATAAGGAGCCATTGGCTCAGCATCTTAAATTGCCTGGTAGAAGATCAGTCTCTGAGATCAACATTTTCCAAAGGGTCTTGTTTGTACCAAGGCAGGTGACCAAGGTGTTTGCAGCCTTGGTTTCACTGATCCAACTCCCTGTGCTGCTACGTGGAAACTCTGAACTAATCTACACTGTTGCTCACGATTATCAAATCCCAGAATAACACAGAGCAGGAGGGACCTCTGGGGCCACCCTGCTCAGAGCAGCAAGGCTGGACTGGGTATCAAGCAGCACGGTCCTCCAGGCCACCCTAATCTCACCTCCAGGATGGAACACGAGGACCAAATCCTGGCCACTCCAAATATTGAGGATGGGATGCTCACTTCTCATCTGCTTCAGCCCTGAAGAGCCATACCCAGAGAGGCCATGCACAGGGCAAGGAAAGCTGCAGGTTATCCTCTTTCCTCCACCATCTGTCTTCATCCCCACCTTTGTGCTCAGTGGTGGGATCCTCTGGCCAGCCCAAAACCAGTGGAAAAGCCACCTGTAATTCTGCATTTGTCCAACTGCCAGCTGAGAAGACCGCAGCAGCCCTTGCCCACCATCACCCTCACACCGCTGGGCTGCAGGCAGGACACAGGTGACCTGTGCTGGTGCTGGAGGGACACAGGTGACCCCCATGGTAGCACAGTCTTGCCTCTGAGCCTCTCCTCCAGAAAACAAATCTTGTTCAACAGCTTGAGCGCTGCTTGGCTGTGTGACAGCCAGCTGCTCTGGCAGGTCACTGGGAACAGTTTGTTGCACGATCTCCACAGTTTCAGGGAGGAGAAGCTTCCTCATAGCTGAGAGCAGCAGCGAGTGAGGAGTTCATGTGCTGTGATGCACCTACAGAGGACAGGCCCGTGTCAGGTTCATCCCTGCCGAGGCCTCAGTGGCCGTTTGTCCTGGGAATAGTCACCCCTGGCTCCAGCCTTTCCCCAACAAACTGGCAAAGGAGGGCATAGCAAATCCTGCAGCTCACAGCTGCAGGGATCTTGCTGCAGAATTGGCTGTGCAAGAAGGGCCGGGTTTTGGGTGTGCTCCCCTTGGGTGGCACCAAGCCCAGTATTGTGCGAGCTGCCGCTGAAGCAACAGGCGGGAAGTGCCGTCAGGGGGACGCCAGCCCGGGGACGCAGCCGGGTGAAAGGGGCACCTCAGGAACGGGCTGTCCATCGTGCAGCAGGCTGGTGGTGGTGTCCAGGGGAGGTGCTGCTGATGGTGGGTTTGGGATGGATTTGGGATATGTTGAAAGCCACAGGTCGGTCCAGCTAGAAGGATCTGGTTTGATTTGCTGGGTGCTGGTTCCTGTGCTGGTGCCCAGCTGCTGCAAGACTTCTGAATTTCCACATGCCTTTAAAAGTCAGGAACAAAATGTTGATAGAAAATGTTTTCTTTATGGAAAGGTAACTTTATGGAAGCATAAAGTTAGTGTTACATGGATGGCTGTTCTTCTCCAAAAACTGTGGTGTGCACTTTAGGCTCCCCTTACCCTGCCAGCCATCTTCCTCTGCAGCCCATAGCTGCTGCCTCCCTTCCCTGGGTCCAGAGCAGCTCAGATGGAAGTGCCTCATTTTCCTGTGCACAAGCAGCTCTGTGATGTGTGCTGAAATCAAAACACCTACGCCCAGGTAACAGAGGTCACACTTTGACCCACCAGCTTTTAGCAACAGTGACCACTGAGTTGCAGTGGCTTTCTGGAACCAAAGAATGCTTTAACCACTCCCTTGGGTAGGTCCTTAATGATATGATGGCAAAGCTTTCTTCTGTGCATCATTCTCCTTATACAGCCTGAAAGTTTGGGCTTGTGGATTTCACTGTTATAGTCCAGAGATTTCAAATGAACTTCTCAGTTTATGAATTCAACTGCTTATGTGAAGGCAAGGACATCTTCCACAGAGCTCGGGGAAGGAACAGTTAACTGCTGGCTAACCCAGCTGCAAAGCCAGGGATGCCTCCAATGTCTGCAGACCATCACTGCTGCTGTGCTTTACTTCACTCTGTGGCCTGAGGCCAGCAAAATCATCCAAAGGCCAATGGAGAGGTCCCGTGAGATGAGGATTTCCCTCTGGTGTGACCCTGACGTGGTGAACTCTGGCACCTGGTCCACAGCCTGTGCCCATCCTCCACCCAGTGCAAATGCACAGGGGCCTGCAGGAAGCTGCAGAGGTGGGGCTGCTGTGTGTTCTTCCTCAGTGCTTCAGGACTGGTAGAACAGCTCTTAGAGCACAATTTTACTTGGCACAGGCTGGTTTTGTAATGAAAGAAATAAATAAGTGCCATCCTGCTCTGCTGGAAGGTTGAAGTGTTTCCTTCCTTTCTTTTTTTTTTCCAAAGATCTGTTTGCAAACTGAATACTTTGGCCTCAAAAATAAAATTTTAAACAGGAATTGTAATTGGGAGAAGGCAAACACAGACAGTCTTGTGCTTTCATTGGTGCTGCTATGAATTATTTTATGATTTGCTATATTTTCTTTTAGTTTGAACTTTAGTGCAGAACTGAGGAAGCACGTTTGTGCTGCGTGCTGCTGACTCACCAGCTCTGGAGAGAGGCTCGCCCTGTATCTGTGCTCTCTGTGCACCCCCACTTGCTCCCAACCACCTGGGATCCCAAACCAGGCCAAGAGGGAATGTCCCCATGGCAGACGAAGGACATGGGGGGAAGGGTAGGGTTTTCCTGCCCACACGGAAGTCTTCTCCTCCTCTCCCCTGCAGTGAGTTTCCTGCAGGCTGGAAGCCTGTGAGCCGGCAGAGGAACAAGGCTTGGAGGCTGGCAGTGTGGGAAGGGATGGACCACCTCTCCTGGCAGCGCCCACAGTTAAATCAGCTCAGAGTTACAATGAAAGCATAGGGAAGCATCTCACCCCTTTTCCCTGCAGTCTTCCTCTTGGAAGTGCCAACCCAAGTGCTGGTTAGCTCGTGTGAGATAAACGTGGCTGGAGGATGAGAGCTTTACGTGCTGTGCTCAACACAAAGCAGCAGGTGAAGCCCTACTCTAGCAGAACCATACAGGAGCATTTCTACCAATTCCAGCAAGAGCCCTGCAGGCAGACAGCTTGCATGGACAGGCTTGGGGAGTTTCAGGAAGCTTCAAAATAGAGTAAATAATAATAACCAGAAGTAAAATAATAAATCAGAAATGCGTTACCTGCTCCGAAGGAATGGCTTTCATATTTCCTTCAAAAAAAACAAAACAAACAAAAACACCCACCATGTTATTTACATTCCATTTAACTCACTGAAAAACCCAAACAAACAGAGGTATTACTTTCACTTTTTTGATAAAAAAAGCTATTTTATATCATGTTTTTCAACGGATGAATTAAAATACTTAATATATTGCTTATACAAGTCTATACACGTAGGATATGTATATTCCCTCAAACACCACAACAAGTTAAAGCAACCATGATTTTTGTGGATGAGGCAGTGTGGAGATGCAAGGCCAGCAGCAGATCAGGGATCCCAGGTAGTCCTGAGCTGTTGCAGGACTGGGATGGGCAGTCTGGGACAGTTGTGCTGCAGCACGCCTCTCTCCCTGCAGTGGGGTAGCCCTGGGGTGGAGGGGCTGCCTGCCTGAGTGCTTGTCTGCTGTCTTGGGAGGGCTGTGTGCTGCCAGGTTGCTGCAGGAGCTGCTTCAGGATGAGGTTTCATGTTACAGCTTGAGCTGAATTAACAGCTGCCAACATCAAAAAGAAGTCCTTCTGCAGGCAGTGTCCTTCTGCCCCTTGCTTGGTGCTGTCTGTGGTGTCTTCTAATCCCCACACAGGGCAGGTTGGTTCATGGGACGGACAAAAGCCCATGGGAGAGAAAACTAACAGCTTTTTTGGGTTGGGTTAATGTGCTGCCAGCTCCCTGCATGGTCCCGAGAACGTGAGTGGAAGAAGGTGGTGAGGGGGCAGCAGGACTGACCCGTTGTGGCACTGGCAAGTTCAGCTTCACTGCAAGGTGGAAGTGTATCCATAAGTGGCTTGCTTGAAGCAATCCCTTTCAGCTGTGGCTGTAGGAACCACCTGGCCTCCCTGTGCCTGGACACTGGCTCCATTCCTACCTACCTGTCTGTACAGCGACGGGACACCCGGACAGGGCAGGAGATAAAAATCCTCGTCTCGCTCCTTGTGCAAACACTCTGACCTATCCCTGCCTGACTTCCTTCAAGGGACAGCTCTTTAACCATGACCTTCTCGTGCTGGGCTGCTCCTCTGCTGGATTGCTGCTCTCCCTGGGCTCTGCTGTGATGGGAATGCCAAGTGCTGCTGAAGCAAGGCTGCCCTCGCTTCCCCCAGAGCGCCGCAGGAACCGCGTGCGCTGCTGCTACCCAAGCCAAGGGAGAGGGGAGGCTCTGCTGCTGCTGGCTCCTGCACAGAGCCACAACAGCTGGGAGTAACAAACCCTGCCTGTTTGTGTTAAATCAGGAATACTGCTGCAAGATAAGGAGATCCAGGTGATTGGTTGACTTATTCTACTTTCCATGAGCCAGCAGCTGAGTCCTCCTGTCTTTCCCTGCTAGGAATACACACGCCAAGCTCATGCTGCAATGCCTTGTTTTTTTTCCTGGACCTAAATGAATATTCAAGATATGAATTACCAATACTTCTAGCTTCATCCCCCTGTGCATATTTTAAAGAGACTTGTTCACTTACCTTCCTGGCTGCTGGAAAAGGTTTTCTTGATCAGGGAGGTGCTGTGGCCACCCGCTCCACGCTCAGTGTCCTCTGCTTGTCTGCGGCTGGTGGGTCTTGGAAAACAAAACAGAAGTGATAGAAAGGGAGGGAGCCATGCCTGCAGAGTTGGGAAGCCACTGCAGAGCAGAGTAAAGCTGTTCTGTTTGTTTTCTATCTTTTCAAGTATACAGCAGCCTGTGTAATTTCCTGGCCACAAACTGCAGCTCTTTTCCATCAGATGCCAGTAGGTTTGTTGACTGAGTGTCACTAGGATCGCTCATTTGGCCGTGCAGTCGCTCCAGCACTGTCCTGTCATTCAAAGATGAGGTATAAAGCTGGTGGTGTTTTGAGTAATTACAGTTTTGTTAAGCAGGACAGGCTGGGGACATGTAACACACATAGCAGGCACCAGTCACTGCTGGCAGCCCTGCACAGAGGAAGTTGGGCAGATGCCAAGAGAGGAAGATATCAGACTCAAAATACAGCACCGATTTTCTGAAATTTTTGTCCCTACACCAATTTCATCACTGAAATACAAGTTGTGAAGGAGGTGCAGGAAGGAAAGCATCAACTATGTGTTATGGAAAATGCAGATTAATTTGTTGGTGGGTTTTTTTTGTTTTGTTTTTTTCAGGTTTTGTTTGTTTGTTTGTTTGTTTTTTGTTTTGCTAGTCTTGGTTTCTTCAGCCATCATTAATCTCTGCTTACACAGAAATGTGGAAAGGCAATCCATTCCCAGTGCAGTGGAACTGAAAACCTGGAGGCCACATTGTGCCATCCTGGCTTGCTGACTCGCTGCTCCTCCTGCCATCCACAACCTGCCAAGTGCCCGGTGAAGTCCAAGGGAGCATTGCTTTCTTCAAGAACAAGTCAAGTAGAGAAAATAAACTAAATATCTAATGCCAGGCCAGCTAGGAGCTCTTTTGGAAGGATACTCATCATCTGGGTAGCTTTTCCTCCTCAGCAGATGTAGTCACTTTTGACTCAAGTAGTGTTTTACTCAAGGGTGGCTTTCAGCTACGACAGCAGTGTAGCTGTGAGAATAAAAATGTGAATGCTTTTGTGCAGCAACCAATTTCCTCACTGCCACAGTGCAAAATCTCATTTAGCTTTGATAATACAAATAATACATTCCAGGCAGAAAGAGCCCTTTATTACTGATGAGAACATAAATAATTAAAGGAAAAGCTGAGATTTCCCCCATGCTTTTGTCTTCCCACTACCAGCCAGAAGACAGCCATGCAAGCAGCTGGGCACATGTAAAGCAACTAAAAGCACCTCTCCTCATAGCTTTCTTGATACATTTTTAAGCTGCAGTAATGCAACTCTCCCATCACACTAAGCTTTATTGGTTCAGTGTAAGAAACTAAGAAACTTCACTGGAGACCAGATTATGCTGGTTGCAAAAGCGGGGGGATTCTTCTGCTCTTCGACCCCATTATCTCCTCTGTAGTGTCTTGATCAGCTTTCTTACACACAGCCTTGGATTCTGCTGAGACCCGCAAATTGCTTTTTTGGCTGCCAAATTGCCATAACCCTTCTATTTTTATATTTTAAAAGAGCTTAAACCCCTCCATCCTCTTTGGATGTGTCTTTAAAATTGACCAGTACTGGGAGGATTTCATGTATATCCAAAGGCTTAGAAGAAGATGTTACCTCTACTGAGCTTCTAGTTTTACAGTCAACAGACATGAAAAGCCCAGCAGGGATAAAAGGAACTTAACCAGTTCAGTCTAATGCATATAAATCTACCTAAGAGCTCAAGGCACTGGAAGTACTCAATGCACTACATTTATCTGAGTCTAAGATACAGAAATGGGTCTTCAGCCCACATGCCACATGTCCCATTTTGATGCCAAGTTAATATGAATTAAGAAACTGAGATGAATAAACAAGGTCAGTCTGGGCTGGGCCAAGTTGAATCAATGTAAAATAATTGTCAGTATTTTCTGTCAGCAAGGCTGGTTTATCTTGGCTCAGGATCCTCAGTGCTATAGATTATAAAATGTTTTCAGTGGAACAGTTGGCAGACATTTTATTGATTTTCTTTGTTTTGTGAATGCTGGAAAAATTTCCATTAAGTATACATGCCATTCATGTGATGAAGCCAAATTGCTTTTTGAAACTTTTCTTTCTTCAAGTGTGCTAATGCGTTAATACATTAGCAATCTAATTTAATCAAGAGGACCTTTGTCTGGAATCAAGAGGCCATGGAGCACACCTTGATGCATCTTGAGCACTTATGGGCTAAGAAGAGTTAATTTTGTATTTTTCAAGGTGCAGTGTGCACACTGACTGATTAATTTGCACCTCTGAATTTGGTAATGTATTATCTCAGTTTTACAGATGTAGAAATTGAGAGTGCAACTTTGCACAAAGCCATCTATATCTGCCTGCTGTTGCATTCTTGAGGCACGTGAAGCTCCTGGGCTGAGCAGTGGTAAAGAATGAGAAGGAAGAGAAGAAAGAGAAGGAAAGAGAGGGAAGGCTGCAGCAGACAGGCAGGAACAGCACTGGATCCAGCTGAGCTGCTGGATCCCACTTCTGACATGAATTTCCTCCACCACATCACCACATCCCAGCATCACACCTATTAACAGAGTTAATTTGGAACTGAAAACTGCTCAGGCAGATAGAGCAGCTGGTAGGATTATACCTGAACTTGGCAGACGTTATCCCTCAACCTATATTCCTGCTATTTTGTGACTGGGTTTGCTTCCTGGTTAAAGAGGACTTTTGAAACAGGTGGAAGCCATAACAGTGATGAATGCTTACTTTATTTGCACAGAACAGTCAGGTAGGAGTAAGAAATCCATTTAATGTTGTTTTTTATGTGACGCACAAAAGGGGATGCTGTGGGATAACTCTAATTCCCTCCCTCTATGCTGATTTAATAACCAACATACAGAACTGAAAAATGCTGTTAGAACTTCCTAAGGTTTGGTCAGTGATGCTACAGATTCAAAATATACAGACATGCTCAAGAGATTAAACAAAAACTTGGTAGAGAAGTAGGAATGACTGTATTTTTAAGGACATAATCAAAAAGAAAGTTTCATGGTAAAAATCACTGTAATGATAAACACTTTTGCCTTCTATCCTAATCACTTGTATTAAAATAATAGATAGCCTAATTAAAATGGGAGCAGTTCTGGTTTGGGGGATGGGGACTAGGTAGATGGATAATGAGCTAAAAACCCCTCCAACCCAGCTTCACACACTGCCAACAAGTGGAAGATATTTAAGCCCACAACACATTATGGTAAGGAAAGAGAATGACACACTGATGGGGAGGAAACCCTCACTGCAGCTACCAAGGCCAGTGGCAGAGGAGTGAGTGCAGTCACAGCTCTGTGTGACTCTGGTGCCAGACTCTGACATGGTCACAGGCACTCTCTGGGTGACTCATCCAGAAATGAGCTGTCTCACAGGCCGTTGATCAGCTCCTTTGTGTGGCTGAGAGGATCAGCATGCTACCTCAGTCCTCTGAACAACAGCATCCAGAATATCCTCCTCAAGTGCAAGCTTCTGCTGCAGGGTTATGCTGATCAAATTGTTTTCATAAACAGATAACAAAGTAATGGGAGGACAGGAACTTCCAGGCTAAAACATTACTGACACTTGGAAGGAGAGAGGGCAATGGTCAATGCCAAATGTAAGCCAGAGGTGAGATCTTTATCTTATAAAATTATTCACTGAACTGTGCATTGTTGGTGGTGTTTAACTGTCCTTTTTATGTTAGAGTGAAAGAAATCAGGCAGAAAATGAATCACTGCTTTCTGGAATGTTGTCCTGAAATCTTTACTGCCCATAACTTTTTGTGTGTATATGCCTCAGAAAGCTGACTACAGCTCTCCGCTGGCAGCAACACCACTGCTGCTTCCACAAAACATCATGGAGTTAAATCAAGAATAAGTTCTTAAAGAAATAAACCCTTGAGATTGTTCTATGAATTATTGTTTTATTTCCAGCCTCTTCTGTCCATTTTCTGTCCCTGTCTCCGTCCCAGATTATGGCTTTCCTGGTTAAGCAAAGGAGAGGATGATGTGAAGGGTTAGTTGAAGTGATTTTTTAATTACACAGCCTGGAAACTGGGCTTCAGTTACACATATGCAGATGTCAAACTCCCTGAAGGGCACCAGAAACAAGGTTTATTAGGCACATGAAACATAAGTGTCTTCTGTTAGTCTTCACAGGGCCCTTGCTCGTGACTTCTGCCTAGATGTAACTCATGAGATATGCCTCAGCTGTCCCAAGAGCTGAAATACAAGGGAGAAAGAAATATGTGCTGGAGATGAGCTTCCACAAAGTTGAGTGAAATGCAGATTTGGGACAGCATCTGGGACTGATAGGGGTAGTTGTGTTAAAAATGCAGTAATGTAGTAATGGTGTGACTAGCTGGTACAAAGATGTAAAGCCAAGGCAGATAACAAGAGACTCTGAAAGAAGAAAGAACAGCCATTGGACACTGTTGCTGAACAACTGCAAAGTCCTGGTGTGGTCTCTTACAGGAACTTAAAGAACCACTGCTACCCAGAAGAAGCCAATTACAAACCCAGAAGTCTCTGGTAATGCTGGAGTATCTGGGACAGAGAGATGAAACACTGCAATGACCGCAGAACAGAGAACAGCCCTATTAATGTAGGGTCCCAGCACTAAAACTTCCTTTCGTTATAGAGATTTCTTCACATGAAGAAGTCTGATTCAGACTTGGCAGCAGATGCATTGTAGGAGCAACTCTGGGAAATTGGAGGCAAACCAAGCCACAGTTGGGTGCTTGTAACCACCCGTGGCTTTCTTTAAGCACAGGGAAGAAGCTGTTGGAGTCACCTGTGCCTCAGCAGGTGACCTTCCCACCTGGCTGGTGTTGTCACAGGGAGTGCCTTTGAAACCTAAATTCTTGTTGGCAGGCTTCGAGCAGCTGTGGCCAGCCAGGAGAGCCGTGAGAAGTTTTCTTCCATAGCACTGTAAGCGGCCACCAAAATCTCCGGCCTCTCCCGGCAGAGGTCAGCGGCATCTCCAGGTGTCCGCAGGTGGAGGAGCTGGTGCATGGGTGGGAGCTTGCTTTATGCTCCCCAGTCAAAAGCCTTGGGAAATCCCAGCTGTTTATGCAGCTCTGGCGACTGCGAGGAGCCACTCCTGAGGCTCAGCAACTTATGGTGACCCAGCTGGGTAGGAGCAGGCAAACGCGGTCAGGCGGGGAGCCCAGGAGTCGGGCAAAGCTGAGCTCGCAGCCTCTCCCGAGACGCCTGACGAAGGCAGACGTGGGACTGCCAGAGCTGTGTGAGTCACAGCAACCTCCAAAAGGAAAAAGGGGAGCGAAAGGGAGGGAGGACAGCGTGTTTATACCTCGGGATCAGAGGCGTGTTGGGATCAGTCTCGGCCCTGGTGCGCTGCTAAAGGAGCTCCTTTTATTGGAGCACTTGGAGTCCTCTGGAGACAATGCAGCCTCCAGCATGGAGACTGTCTTTATAATTTGCCCGTATCAGTACAGTGGTATCTTCATCCTAAAAGTTAAGAGGAATAACTCTGCCCTGTCTTTTTAAAGCCAGGCCCACCTCCAAACCCATTAGATAGCTCGGAAAGCTTTAGAGCGTGTCCCATGTCCTAAAAGTTGTAGGCAATGTGTAAAATAAATACTTCATTTGTGGTGTGCAGCTGGTAAAATGAATATGACACTGCATACTGAAAAAACTCAACGCTCCCATGTGAGAGGAGACAGAAAACTAGTTAACCCAGAGATTTCCAGAAAGAGAAGGAAATAAGAAAATGAAGAAAGAAGAAAATGAACCATGTGTCCAGCACAGTTATATACAAATGGCTGGGATGAATGTAATGTGGAACTTCAATGTCATACTCACACCAGATTTACTAAAAACATTCCTATAGACAGTAGACATAGAAAATAAAAATAAGTCTATATACTACACATTTATATACTCACTGGGAACAAATAACTGTTTTTCTATCAAGAATGCACAAAGAAAAAGAACAGAAACAAATGGTTTTTGAATCTTTGCAGAAGAGCTGTTTCTTTTTAATTTCCTATCCCTTGCAAGGTGGTGTGCAGGTTCACTAGCAATGAAAGTGCTGGAAAAAAAATCCCAGTTATCAAAACTGTTGTTTTTCTCATAGCTAAGTTCAAGGTTTTAATCAGCTTCAGAAGAAGAGCACTCTCAAAAGATCTTTCCAGGGATTTTGATTACAGGCTAGTGATCTGCTTGCAGAAATCTGTGAAGATCTTGTCAGGTTTCTAAAAGTTCTGTTCACCACCTGCAACCATTAATTTGCTGCATTTTCATTGCTGTATTTCTCTTTTCTCCACATTCAACAAGCAAGGCTGCCTTTGCCCAGATGATTTAATTTGAAAATGGTTGTGCTAGTGTATGTTAAAAGCTTGCAAACTGCCTGTGTTTCTGGAGATTTCATTGTGTCTATGCCATGTCCTCTGGGCTTCCAGGTTTTTCTTAGTTTTTAGTGTGTTAATGTTTTATTGTGTTCACAGTCATGATGCAGACTACAGCTGCAGTTGTCAGGAAGGTTCAGAATATCAAACATACATTTAAAAGCCATTCACAGCTCACCTGTGGGAGCAGCTCTGCGTTGGTGGTCTGTCGGCAGGGCTGGGAGCAGGCGGGTTGCATCCTCCTCTCTGCTCTGGAGATTGGTCAGGGAAAGACCCATCACAAGATGGGTCTTCTTCATCTGACTGCCCCAGAAGTTCTGTTAAGATGGATCAAGATATGGTATCACACTTACTTCATCTGAAAGTACCAACCAAGCTGCCAGCTGTTTGCCTTGGATGCCCATAAGGACAAGGGTGTCTTCTCTTGCAGGGGATCAAACTGAATGGAAACCCACATGCTTCCACAGCTTTCACCCTTGGCTTTTCCCTTGAAAAGGAGGCCAAGTAGCCAAAGAGCAAACCAACCTGTTTCTTGTAGCACCAAGAAACAAGTCCAAGAGTTTTTGAAAGACAGAGACAGGGTGTGTATTGTCTGTAGATAGCAAGGAGGAAATGCATTCTCTAAATTGTCAAATACAGAAGGTCCAGCTGGCTGCCAAAGGCTGCTGCATGAGCCATAGGGATCAAAGTCTTATCAATTGGACTGGTTCCCCAGAGGAGTATGTGTAACTCCTTCCTTTAAAAATAAAGACTTCCCTTAGCTTTGTTTTAAAATATTTTCGTTCACAATTAAAGCCTGAAGTCTTCAGTAGGTGAAGCATGAGCACCCAATTCACAAGTTCCAGTCTGAGCCCTGTGGTAAAATAAATTCTTAAAAAATATATGAACCACTTAAAAATATAGAGGAATTGCATATTCTAGGCGTGAGACATAAAATAAATAAATAAAAAATTTAATCAAACCTCAGGCTAGCAGAGTCTGGATTAAGGAAAAAAATCCTGTTACAGATAAAGACTTTAAAAGATTTTTCTCAAAATCATAAGACCCTTTTGCATTTTTTCCTCCTCTAATCCTGTTCTTCTCCCCTTGTTCTCTGCCTTCTTGGATCCTGGATAAGCTGATCAGCAGCATACCCATGGTGGCACCGTGGGCAGTGGGGAGGATGTAACAGCCTGGCCAGTGTTGCCATGCTGTTGGTTTACATTTCGTCTGGAGACCCGGAATGCTCGCTGGCTTAGGAGGGCAAATCTCCTCGTAAGCCCTTCTGAACCTCTGAGTCTTAAACATCCAATGCTGTGGGAGTGCTGTGGACTATTCCCACTCTTCATGCCACCTAAATACTACTGGCATCTGTGGTGTGAGGGAAGGTGAAGTGTGGCAAGGTTTGGCTTTCCCAGGTAGCTGATGTTGTCTGTCTGTGCTGCTGGTTCCCACATTTTCAACCATTTCCCAGTGTGGGGAATTGTTGAAAATGGCCAACTCGGTTAAAGGCAGCACACCTCAAGCATGCACACCACACTGCAATAAATAAAGGTGCTAAACCAGCACTGCTGCAATTTCTCCTCCATCTTGAAAAAAAGAATCCAAAGAGAAATAAAAGCAGAGGAAAGAACAAGTGTACTGGCAATGATTTAATCTCAGAAACTCAAATCCAGGGCAAGTAAGGGAGGTTTTTCTGGAGATGTCTTCTTGGAGCCTTGCAGAACGAGAAACCAAAATAATGAGAAGTACAGTATTGAGAACTCATAAATGTTTGTGAGAAGCTGCTTTTCATAGGCATGAAGAGCTCTGGGAAAGGGCTTAAACAAAATTGCTGTTGATGGGGAAAAAATAATTAGGCAAAATCCACTGCAGGTCTTGTGGCACAAACTTTGACAGCCTCTGCTTTGGAGCACAGCTCTCACTGCTGTGCTCCCACCTGGAATGGAGTCCTTGGTGCTGAAAATCCTCCCTCTTCACTCGGCCAGAGTTGGTTAAGAAACAGAATGTTAAACCTTTGAACTTGCAAAATGTCAAAGCTCAGATGTACAGTGTGAGTCAAGCATCTGTAATTATTTTTTCTTTTCTCTTTTTGTCTTTTTCCACTTAGTAACAACTAAGGCCTTCATAATTTACCCCCTTAAAGTTACAAACTTTCACCAGTATATGCTGCCCATGACTTCCCTTGAACCCACCCCACTCCTGGGGTGGGGACATTTCAGAACATAAAACCCTGAGAGATGCTGAAAGAGGAGTGTGTATTGAGAAAAGAAACAAATCAGAATTGGGTCAACTTCTTCTTGATCTCTTTCCATCACACTACTGATCTGTGTTTTCTTGTTTCTGCTGAGAACCAGGGCTGAGTAAATCCCAGTTCTCACACCAACCACTTCAGTGTAACTCATGCATGTGCTCCAGGTGGTACCCAGCAGATTTTGACATGAAGTGGCTACAGTTTGGATGTATAGAGTCCTTGGGTGCCGTATTTCCAATATATGAATGCTATGAGCAATTAATTACAGCATGGCCAGTGACTGATACTTTGTGCTGTGGATGTAACACAGCTACACCTTGTTGAATAATGCTACTGGATCCACGGAAACCTCATGGAAAACAGAGCAGTCTGTCATCTGCAAGCACAAAACCAGGGGAAGAGCAGGGCTCTTACCCACAGGAGTGCAAATAGATTTCTCGGCACTTTCATATCTAAAATAAATATCTGATATGTTAAAACAGCTATGAGCATTGAACCTATTGTGGTCTGGGGATTCAGCTGCAGTGTGGATACCAGGAGTGGTTCAAAGCCACAAAACCATCAGATTTGAGCTATAGAGTAAAGAAATAAATATTTTTGTTGTGGGACATGGACTCTGTTCCCTGTGAGAAGTGCTAAAGCAGAAAAAACAAATGAGCAAGGAACACTGTTTAAACAACACAGCCCTTCCCAAACTAGAGGCAACATATCCCACTTTTAATTAGAAAGGGAAGGGAAGGATTTTGGCAACAATGCCACAGATCTGGGAGAGGGTGGTGGTCCTCACATCTAGATGAGGGCTCTGGTTAGGATTTGGTGCTTGATAGAGACCTGACTTTGTGCTAGCACAGGAGAGATCATAAATTTCACCTCAGATTTTGTATTCAGGCAATCTGAGATATTCCTTTGCCTTCTTGCACAATAAACTCTCGCTGTTTCAATTCTAAACTACTATTTGCTTAACATGTTACAATCTGGGGATTTCAATCTGATTTTGAATTTCAAAAATTTGAGAATTGGTATTGTGCTAATGTTGTGGTTTCATCATTAAAGTAATTTACCATATGCAAGAATATGAATCTTTTGTGCTAAAATCTTTTTAACAAATCCCATTTGTCATGATCAATATTGGGATAGCATTGTGCACACCCAACCATACAATGACCCAACACATATTCTACATTTCCAAAATTAAGTGGTAATTGCTATTGCTACCTATCACACGTGTCTGAAAGAGCCAAATATCTTTCTTTACAAGTCCACTCAAAGTTCTCCTATGCTTTAATGAGCAGGATGCTCTCTGGGTAATGCATGCAGGTGATGAGATATCACGCCTTGCCTGCCCACACATCTGTCATTATTTAAACATATCTATTCTCTTTTGAATCTGTGTCTGTGAATCAGAAGCTGTTTCCATTCTTCAGGATCCTGCACTGGACTTTCAGGGATAAAAATGCATTTCAAAATGTGCAAATCTGTGGTAAAACGAAAATCTCCTTTTAATATTGTTTGCAAAATTGACAGCTCTACTTAACAGCAGCCATTAAATTATTTACAAAGTAGCAGCTGCTCTTGTAGCAGCCTTTTTTGGGCGTGAAAAATAAACTAGTTGATAAGTGAGAGATAAGCCATTTGACTTCCTCTTTGTGTGCCTGGCATGGTGTGCAGAGCCAATTCTGTACAATCTGATGTTTACAGAGCAATCCTCGTGTACAACCTCCTTAGGCAACCGGGACACAAGAAGCCTTTAAAACGCTGAAGCAAGCATTTAATCAGAACTCTTCATGCTGATCTCTGAAAAATTCAATAAGTTCAAAAAAATGTAACTCTTTCTAAAGATAAAATATCACTTTTTTGCTTCAGGAATTGCAAATATATCCCAATGAACTCCCAGTGAACCACACAGACTTCAGCCACATTGCTGTTTTACTAGAAAGAAAGAGGTAAATTGTGTTTTTCTGAGAGAAACTAATCAAGGGTCTGAAGAAATGCAAATAGTTAATTCAAGTGAGTGCTGTAAAACTGTAGACTTTACTGACAACCACACTTTCTTTCTCTTAGGCATTTAAATTAATTTTTCTACTTGAACAGCTAATTCTATGTAAATTAATTAATATCTTCTCTTATTATGAAATAACCTTTTTTTAATCAAGTATTTATTTTATACCTGTTGAAAGCAAGCTGTCATGATTTTATGACATTTTGGGGATTTTTCAAAAGATAACTGATAACAGCAGATTGCTGCAGAAGGCATGAGATTGAGCATGATTTCACACATTACCAAGTTATGATAACTTAATTCTATACCAGGTTTTCTCAAACTACATAAAACTATTTCTAAAGCCACTGCATAAAATTCTTATGGTATCAAAATCACTGGGAACTTCCACTGCTGATTTGAGTGTGGTCAGCTCTTTTTTCTGGCTACAATTGTTCTCCCAAAAAAGTCTTTCTAAATAAACATATTCTAATAAAATTGTTTTGTTTCAACAAATTCCTGCAGGGAAACCACAGAGCTTTGTTTGTGAGTGTGGAAAAATGTAACTCTAAACTTCTTTGCTTTTTCTGGGCTAATTTTCCATGGATTTTAATTTTTAGATTATTTTTGTGTTGTTTTGTTAATTCCCAAGGTTGACATGTTTGCATTTGACAAATACAAATTGTCGAAATATTGGTTTTGTAGTACTTCTAAAACTCATTGAGAACAGCTGTTACTGTTTAGAGAGCTGGATAAGATTATTCCTGAAATTAAATCTGAATATCTCCCAGTTCTGTTGTTTAACAATTTGATGCCTGAGAAGATAAGGCACTTCAATCACTACTAGTAGAATCAATCCTTAATAGTAGCACAATGTGTCATTATTTCACCTGTTGGGTAGTAGAGGTATTAGCAGTAGTAAAACTATTTTAGTGGGTGTGCAGGAAATTTAAGAATTAATATAAAAGTTATGTGATAAAACTAAAGAAGAAGCTAACATTTATAAACAACTGCTTTGTTTGGTTGCTTTTTTGGTAGTGTAGACAGTTATATTTCACTTAGCAGTTTTCTGCAGCTTGGTGTGAAACCTGGTTTTAAAACTTTCT